TTATTTCGGAATTATGAAAAAACGGGACAGAGTCAAAAATTAGTGTAATATAAATAGTGCAAGTGTTGTAATTGATTTGAAACTTCAAACAAAAATAATATCAAACAGCTGACTGCGATTTTTTAAATCTAAACATAACCCCGTTACCTACTTCTTGTATTTACCATGTAAATGCTTTAGAAAACACGATCGTCTCACTAATGTATATTTTTAGTCGATAATTTTTTACGCTCTCCTTAACATTCGAAGAAGTGAATACATTAATTTATTTAAACAGAAAAAACTTGTTCTTTCCATTTCTTGAATCGATTTCTTTTTTGTGGTGTTGTGATATTTGAATTCTCTCAAAAGTGCCAACGTGAAACTCTTTAAAGGAAACCAAGTATTATTTTTATTTGACTGACAGTGACTTAATAACTGTGAATTTGTTTGTTTTTGCGCGGTATTGCCAAAATTATTTTTGAGATCCACCAAATTGAATTGTGTTAAAATTCAATTTCGTTATAGTGCCAATTAGTAAAAAAATTTTGAATTTTAATCTCAAGATGCAAGGACGGAGTAAACTTTGTGCCAAATTGACCAGCACGTTCCTCAGGAAGTGGTGTGTAAGTGTTACATTATATTTTGTTTTATCTAAACACAATGTATCCAGATACTTTTAACATATTATTTTTTATATAAATGAAAGAAAAAAAACTATTTGATATTTGTATGTGTGAGTGAGTAGCAATGAAGCTTTTGGCACTAAGCATACAAAATATGATGTAATTATTAAATCTCTTTTTGAATTTCGTGTTGTAAAGATACTAATGCATAAAGTCTGCTCAAATACGAATGTCAGATAACTTTGAAAATGACAGTTTAAAGTTTGAACTATATTCGGTGGTATATCGTAATTTGATGTAAAGTTATTCTTAAAAATCGATATACAGGATTATATATAATTAGTATTTATTCTTACTGACACAAAATGAAGTATATAGGGTAGCGCAAGATTTAATATTCCGTGGGTAAAACAGTCCACCACCGAAAGCTCAAAAAACTAGTAAAGTTAAAAAATTTGTTACAACAATATTTGAAAGTATAGAGAAAAAAATGTTTAACCAGCCATCACCTTGATTCTTACAAAGTTGCTGTATGTTTTTCGTAGTTAACTTTTTTGGTCGTGAGCACTGTTGTTTAGTTTACGAAACCTTAATATTTAAATAATTTTACATTGGGTAAATAACGCAGCTATTATGCCGTAAAATCCTTTTATATTAAAAATAAGACATTAAATCTGTTCACTCCCTGACTGTCCCATTTTATGCCGTCTTTGGTGTAAAAAAAAACCAAGTGATATAAATAATAGCCAAAAAACACATTTCAATAATGTATTAACTAAGAGATTTACTGATCATAGTCAGATAGTTGTTTGTTTAAGGTGTTACTTGTTGTGATATAATTGATTTGGTTTTCAATATTGCTCAAAGTCAATTTGAACCTTTGCGCCCGGCACTACCCTACATCGTTTTATTTTATTGTTTTAAACTTTGACGATTTTTATGAAGTATTGAATATGAACAAAATTCATTTGCATCTATAAAAGCAAGTTAAATTCAACATTCTACTTTCACACTAAGTTAAGACACAAATAACAAAAATCGTTTTGAATGTGAATATTCAGTGAAAATGATTATATTAGGTAACAATAGTTATAGTAAATAAAATATTCTTGCGTAAATAAATGTAAATTGCTTTGCAAATATACGAACTAATTCTTTAAGAATGTGTCGCAACAACGATTCAAAAGTAGTAAATTTAATAGTAATTAGAAGTCGGCGGCGTCATGCTTAATTTGTTATAATACAGTACTAATGGAACATATTATAATAATGCATTTGTAATTACTGGTCATTATTACATCTTGGCGATAAGTTTCTAAAAGTCTATGTGCACTAAACAATTTAGCTTTGCCTATACGTGTAAATGTGGTATTTATGTCACATTTTCATGTGCGATTGCCCAACAATTTATGTACGAAGTCAAACAATTAATTTGTTGCGTTGAAATATTTCGTAACTTTCATCGATGCGCCGTGATATCAATAGATACTGTTAGATATTATTATACGACTAGAACAATAACGCATAGAATTCTATGCAGTTGTAACTAAATAACTTTTAAATATTGTCATACAAACTTTGACTAACTGTTAGACATGGAATACATTCACCTTAGATTTTGACTTAGTCATAAATAAGCACCAAAACTTCATACAAATAATATAATTATTCTAACAATAGGTAAACTTCCTAGTTTATATCTTCTTAACAGAAAAGCTTTCGTTTTATGAAAGAAAATACTTTAATATAAGTTACTCGATGTTTCGATTATGAAAGTTCACCTGTTCTATAGAAATCGTTTAGGATGTTTATGATCCTAACAGTAGGGGAGATTGGGTACTGTTGTGCCATCTTAAGGTTGTAGCAGTAGTCGTAACAGCCATATTATACTAATTTAGAATAGGGTCCAAAGGAAGAAATATGAAGTATGTTTGTTGGATCAAGTTTCCATAAAAGATACCTAGATCGAATTGCTTTTAAAGAGCCAAAATTAAGTTTTTTGTTAGATTTTTGTAATAAAAACTGTTACTTGTTTACAGATAGATCACTTTGATTACTATTTTGCTGTAAGTCGAACATTAGTAGTTAATTAACAGCAACCAGTTTTGTTTCGTGTATGTAGTGAAATGTATTTATCGTCCTTTTTGGGTGAAATTTGAACAGATAGAAAAAACTCTAACTTAACTAAGACAAAATACGAAAGATAAAAGGGAAGGAAAATTCATTACAAGAAAACAAAAGATTTCACGAAGATATTTAGTTTTAAAAAAATATGTGGACGGTTGTAACATTTGCACTTTTCTTGTATGATTTGATATGACTAATCTAAATTGTATTTAAGAACAGTATTTTAGTAGTTCCTCGTAGACAAATGTTCAAATTACCATTTAATTTACTTTTCTCCCAGCTAACTGGTAAATTAACAAAATGATGGCTAATCAAAGAAAAGTGGCACATCCGTGAATATTTCGTTAAGTTTTCTATTCTCAAATAGAAGTTTAATTTTTTGTGAACTTGAAAACTTAAATAAGCTGAAAATAAAAAAACTTAAAATAATAAAAAATAAATAAAATTCCAATGTATTGAACATTTGTCACTATTATTACTATTTGTCATTATTTGTTACATTGAACACTACGATCTCCACAAAAGTTTTAATTAAATACTCTTATTTTCATGAACTGGTAAAATTCAAATATATAATTTTCTATGATTTCAAATGATGGAAGAAAATTGTATATTACAGAAACCATTCGGCTTACATTTTATCATTTAAACACTTAATTTTGATCGGTAATTCATGTCCAATTAATAAAATTAACACCAAATTCGGATATTACTCGGTCGGTACTCTAAAATGAACTTTGATTATATACGGTTCAAGGTATTTAAATCAATTCAAAAATAGTATTAATATTAAACAAAATATTAGGACTAGCGTTGGTCAGTTTTGCGCGGCAATCGGCTAAGCCGTTTCTTTGTAATTAGCAGAAAAATGTAAAAATTTTCGTCTACGTTTTAGGCCACATTCTTGAATCGATTTTAAACTTTCTAAAACTGTTCGAAAGATATTGGTAGGGATCGCGTTGATTAGTTTTTGGTAAAGATCGGCCGGCTCGTTTCTTTGTAATTAAATTTTGAAAAAAAAATCTGTTACGATTTTGATGAAACTTTGTAAAACGATAGATTCGTAGTCTGAAATATCATACTAAAATATTAGAGACTTACAGTAAGCGATTAAACTATAAACAATATTCAAAATTTAGAATTCGCCGAGCGATTCTTATCAGAATCTATGCCGAAGCATCTGTACGTCCTGTGGTGTTTCGTCGGTAGCTACTGATTACAGTTATTGCAGATATTATGAGTGTCTCAAAGATATCGACTAAAAAACGTTTTAATGAAAGCGAAATCTTTATTTTTGAAATGAATAGTTGAACATTAGATATATCTATAAAGCTAATTATAATTTTTGTTGATTAAGTCGATTATTTACACATGTCGCGAAGTTTATGTAACTTGTCTTTAGGCAAAATGCTACTTACAAACAACTACTTATTTATATGTAGTTATTTAAATAGATCTGATTTGATCCTTATAAATACTTAATTATTCTTATTCCTTGTGATTCTACTAAAACTTTCTCGCATCTCATTCATCACAAAACATTTTCTAATTATGAACGATGTAAATTATCTTAATTTTTTACAATTCGCATTATAGATTAATTTCCCATGAATCAAACGGATACATAGACAGTGTGATTCGATATAACTTCCTTTTTCACACTAATCAGAATGTTCAACTTTGTTATGAGAATTTGTCACCGAGATAAAACAATTAGAATTTGTTATTAAATCGGAACAGTTTCTTGCTTAAAATAGCATAGAAAGTTTTATAAATATTTTTATGTTTTTACGGAATGCGAATTATTCATTTGTAATTTTTTTTTGTAACATATGGCAGTATTCTGTTTAATATGGAATTTGTTACATACTTATAGCAATCTATAATTTTATATATAATATAGTTAACCTCGATCTTTGTTGTTTTTTAATTTATCATTTCGAAACTATTTTATTATAATTATATATGCATACATATACATATATGTAATAAAAACACATAACAAAAAAGTGGAAAAAATGTTTCACTTCTTAGCCATGATTAATATGAATATGAATAATCAATTTGATTATAAGTTAGTTATGAAAGCAATTATATAACAATTCATTCAATGGTTTGAACATAAAAGGATCAATAATACTATATCGAAAACATAATAAAAAAATTGCATTTCAAATGGAAAATACTATAAAAGCATTCCATAGACATTCTTAAGAATTACAATATGTACGAAAGTGAAAAGAAGCGCAGGGTAAAATTATCATATTAGAAAAAAAGAGATAGTATAAATTGCAAAGTTTAAGTATATATTATATGATAAGTATAATATAGTATCGAATAAACGAACACAATTTTTTTTAATATATAAAGTAAAAATTGTATTCAAAGCCCTCGTGTGATAGTTAAACTTCTTGTTTAGGAGCTAATATTGGTCATTAAGTATAACAGCATTCAGAATTATTATTTGCGATGATTAGCAAAGGATATATTAGAAACGCTAAGGATGTATTAATAAAGATCAAACAAAATAAACTGACTATAAATCAATTATTTATTTAAATTAATCTCTGCTAATTAATCTTGATATAGACCGAAACATATGGATTAGCTGTAATTTTTAATACAGTTTATACTTGGTGCTATATGCGATCAATAAACCTATAATTTTTTAACAACAATATTCGAAAGTTGATGTCAAAAGATGTATAACCATCATCTTGATTTTCATGACTACTATATCAGGAGATAAACGACAATGTTTGAAAATTCATAACAAAATTATTTTCTTTCGTTGTTATATTTTTTAGTTGTGAGGACTGTTGTTTAGTTTACGAAACCTTAATATAATTTTTCAGTATACGTTAATAAATT